TATATATTTATATATTCTTAAAATGTATATATATATATATATATATATATATACTTTTTAAGAGAGAGAAACTCTTATTGGATTTTTAAAAGTGTGTCTTATATAAAAATATAACAGTATTATTTCAGTTAAAATAAAACAATCGATATACATATATTATACATCATTGTTTTTATTTATGCTCTTTCATGTAAGTGAAAAAAATTTGCAGTTACGTAAAATTTTAGTTTCGTCTATCAATTATAAATACAACGTTTATTTGAAGATTATTATCTTTAATTTAAATTGGTATCGTCAAGAATAATAAGATATACTAAATTGATTATAAATAGTGATTATAATTATATTATTTATGCCAATTTTACATTTTACGTAATTTATTGGCTGATTTCAAAATGTGTTATTAAGTTGTAGTACAATGTGCAATTTTTATTATATGTAAATACATGTCAGAATATAGCAATTTGCGTGTATCTCAAATAGAATTAATTAATTTATTCATTATTGAAATTAATAGAATTAATGAATAAATAATGAATAATATAATTGTTTTATTTATTCATTATATAATATTTATATAAAGGAGAAATAGAATGTACTCAGGAAAAATAATTAATTGATCAATGTCATTATTAAATCATTGTATTAATGATTTATAAATCCTATAAGAAAAACAAAGTATATAAGACATCAAAATTATAATAACATTTATATAAAAACGTACGATATGACAAATGTCTCTTTTATACTATTTTATTAAATTTAAATACTCTGGTATCATATATCACATACATACAAGTTTGCTTTGATTCATATCATTAGATATGTCCTTTACAATTAGGAATACCTATATTCTAATTGTGAAAATATTATACAGTTTCATGTAATAAAATGGAATTTGAATTAAAAATCGTAATTTATTTGATTACCTAGAGAGAAACCTAATTATCGAATTATAAAGTTTATTTGTATGATTTATTTCACGTTTGTAAATTGTATTATATTTATATAAAAGTACTGCTTATACGTACGATCGTGACATTCTATACAAATCAGTTCTTCTCTGTGTATACTTGTGTGATCTCGCATATAATGGGATTCTGGAAACACGTTGAGTCGATGATATTCCACTATTTGCTTTGATCCAATCATAGTTATGTGGCAATGAACTTCTGTATCCTTGGTAGTACTTATAAATACCATTCGAATAATTTGGTACCGTATGTAACAAAGACGTACGATAATCTATACAATTCATTTCTTTCTCACGTATATGAGAAATGCCGGGGTACAACAGTTTATCATAATATTTTTTAATTGAGTACTTCTGATACATGTTTTTCGAGTACTTATTGATGTTCCACAGAACATGGGCATCGCGAACGCATGTCTCCTTGTCCAATTTTAGAACACCTCCGCTATTATTAGATTTGATTACACGAATCAAAATAGGTTCACAATTTTGAGTGGCCACATTTATCTTCTCTTCAAAACTACCACCGGTTGCAATGCCTGTATCTTGTAATTGCTTCAGAGTATACTGAGTTTCCGAATCACGAAGCGGCAATGATATATTTAAACCGATATCATGGTTTTCTGTACGTGCAGTAACATCTTTATCCTTAACAAACGGTTCATTCATCGTTTCTGCATACGTAGTATCATTTTCTGAAAGACTATAATCTCTAATTTTCGATATAGAAGGTTCATATAGTACTTCTACGTTTTTCGAATTTGCATTTGCTATAAATTGATCTATGACATCCTCCTTTGTATCTTGAGTCTGAATCGAATTCAAAACAGAGTTTTTTCTTGAAGGGCATGTACTTTTCAATTTGGATCTACAATAAAATTTATTTAACAGCTGTCTTTTTGACCAATCTACAAGCGTGTATATCTTTAAAATTTCATCTGCACATTCTTTTATTTTATTTAAAATGATAAATGTATTGATCGCGTCTTCTTTTCGTGCGCAATCTTTTTGTACTAAAAAAAAATTACAATGAAAAACTTTAATATATACACATTTTTTTAATATATACATTAGTGATATACATTCACTATTTATAAAATGTTCAAAAATACCGACCATTCTTGCTACTCATTACAAAGTCATGCTTCATTAACTCTAAAAGGATTTCAATAAACATTGTTATGTATGCGTTATCTTTCTCCGCTTTTTCCAAACAACTTAAGCTTTCAACTTCAGCAGCAGAGATAGTGCCAGAATGTATATTCTGGTTTGGAAATGTGCATGGAATTTGTTCACAAACAGTCACCTCGGAAGCTGTGTAAAAAAATATAACACATATAAAATTTATTTATGTATATAAAAATTTATGTACGTAAAATAAATCTATACATTGTTATAAGAAATTAATTACAGTTAGAATTTACATCTATCTTCGATAAATACGATATATCAGAATAAATTTTTGTTTTTTCTTGCATTATTTTTTCTAAGCATTGAAGTAAAGCTTGTGTCACTACAGAATTGTGTTTGATAATCTCCATTATATCCGTATCGTGAGTTGGAAGAGAAGAGCAAGTTTCTTTAGTGCAAACTTTATTTTCAACGAGTTTCTTGTTATCTAATGAAAAATAAGTTTTTTCCGCTTCTAAAGAAAAAAAGTAAATTAATAATGCTGTTTATGCCATTTATAAACACTTTTTTACAGTGATATTAACCAAATCACATTATCTGTTTCTAAATAACCAATAGTTAAATTTTATCAAATATGTGAAGTTTAATATAAAATAATTTAATTAAGAATATATATTTTACAAGGAATAGAGAGTTACTTTTTTTAAAAGTAATTAATACCATTACTTAGAAAATAACGATTCGTTACATTTTTAATGCTGAAACAAGATCGTAAACAAGAAAGTATTTAATTACAATTAACGCGTTACTTTTATTGCCTAATAACTTAAGATTTAAAAAACCTTTCTGATCATGATCACCAGTATCTTGACATTTATTAGTTGTGAATTCTTTCAAATCACTTTGTATCAGTGGCAAATAATTTTCATCGGTAGTTATCAGTATAAAATTCGGCATAGAACCTTCCACGGTCTTTAATTTTATATCAATCGTATTTCGCATATCGTTTGTAGGACGTTTCATGGTATTTTCATCGATTTGCTTTACCTTTTGTGTCGAAGAACATATTTGAAAAACTTGATTATTTGGACTTGCACAAATGGTATTCTGAATCTCCTTATCACATTGTTTCACAGTATTTACTGCTACTTGTTTTGATACTTCCTGAGATATTAAAGGCTTACTTAGGATTTCTTTACGACATTTTTGTACGATATCTATCTTTGCTTTCGGCACGCAAACTGTGTTTTGTATTTCTTTATTGCGATGCTCAACAATGGTTGTTACTTGCTTCATTCGTTTTTCCGGAAATAATTGTTCGCATGGCAATTGTGTTTTTCTTATACAGAATTTTGGTTTAGACGCAACAGTTGCTACTGGTGTTGTCTGTTGATTTATGCAATAGCAAGTGCTTTGTGGATAATACATATGATTAGTTCTCAACATGTCTGCAGAATATCCTATATAACTTGGTAATCCTCTAGAAAAAGTTGGACATGGAATTATATTCTCGTATTTTCCTTGATACATGCTGTCTGTTATTCGATGTGCTTTGTATCCTTCGTAAAATTTATTAGTTAATTTGGAGTATTCTGGACAAGGAACTGTGATATTTAAAGGTTTTATTGTTTCGTTAGCTTTTTTCACAGTTTTTATATCCAATTTGTTAAGATTTACATTTTCCCAACCACAGGATGGACACTGTAGCAATTGCGCATTATTCTGCCCTTCACTTTCATGTTCTAATATTTCAAAATTCCCTGGCACATTGTGTTTGAATAAGTGATAAATAAATGCAACATTTTAGAACAACAAATTAAAATAAAAATAATTATTTCTTAAATACTTTTTTACCAGATTTTGTAAATTTACTGTTTTTTCCTGATTTTATCTTATAATCTTGCATACAAGGAAAATTAGATACATTTTTATATCTGTTGTTGTTGTTATATGGTGTAATAACGGAATTTTTTATAGGAGATATCGTTTCCACTGATCCCATTCTGTTCTATCCATAATAATATAAAAATAGTTTATTAAAATATTAAAATTTTTATTATTGATATCTTATGCTTGATCTACCAATTTATAAATTATTTTGAAAGGAATATATATCTCAATTTTTGAAAAAATTAATGGATGCTTCTTTCAAAATAATTTGTAAATAATATCCTTTAAATTATATATACGTATAAATTATATTATGTTTTACCTGCAACTTGCTTTCATCGTCAATCACCTTTGTTAACATTTTAGCTATTATAGGAAACCAAGCAAAAGGAGATTCGTATGATTTGCCCGATTGAAGCCCTTTGATAACTTTTGTTTGTTCCTGTTCATATCTAAAAGATAAGAGGAACATTTTTAAAACTGATTAAATCTGGACGAGTAAATATCGAATATAAATTTTTATATCAAAAATAAATAATTAATATAATAAACATTTTTTTATCGTTTATGTTTTACTCTTATGTTTTTACTTTTTTCTTATCACTTTAATCTGTTCTAGACAATCAGATATATTCAATTCGGGTATATTAAGTTCTTTAATTATATCCTTGAGTGCATCATTTTTAGCTAAACAATCATAATATTTCACATAATATGGGTTCCAAAGACATGGATGCTTTTGATATGCATTTAAAAAAATAAGAGAAACATTTTCGTTCCATTTTAAAGACATAATTATTTAATTTATCAATAGCAATTGACACACTCGAAATTTTATATCCTATGAATAGAAAACTTACATAATTTTGCGTGACATTCACATGAAGAAAACTGCATTTTTTAATGAAGTCTTAAGTGAATATGTCTATTTATATCAATAATATAGTTCGATATATAACCATTGATGTAAAAAGAGCCATGATAGAACCATGATACAATTAATCTTTTTTATATCATGAATATAACAAGATAGTTTCCACAATATACATATAAAACTATTCATACTATATAATTACTTTATAACTATTTACTGAAGTATTTTTTACAAAGTATTTTTTTTATACATTAATAAAATTATTGTCAGCAAAAAAGATATCTCATTGTTTGCATTTGTTGATACTTTATCATATACTTATTATTGATGTATAAATAGAGAATTTATTTTCTCTCGATATTTAATTACACTTATACATAAACCTAACTTTATAAGTAATAACTAACTAAAAATATTGATTGCAATCACACATTAGTACTTCAATATTGTCGAGATATTTTTTTCTTTTCTCATTTATTACTTGTAACAAAATCTATCATAATTCTCGTTTTCTTTGATTTTAGCAAGTAATAAACATTCCTTTAGTGTTAGACCACAACTACAATTTTCATCATTACAAATTACTTCACAGTCGTTACAATCGCAACAACAGATTAAGTTGTTACTCTGATCCATTAATTTAGATTTTAAAATTTTTAATCGCGCTTTTGTTACCAAATTTTGTATTTCCTTTTCCAATTCCACAGCAGACTCTAAAAACAAGTTAATTAAGTGATAATTACTCCGTGTTATGATCAATAGATTTTACTTACGAATATCAATAGTTCGTAATTGAAACGCTATACTTTTTCCGAATATGTCAAAGTTATCTTCAATTTTTTTTCTGCCATGCACTTCTACAGGAATATCTGTGCATGTAGAACGATCCTGTTATAAAAGATTTTACATTGTTTCCTCCTTTCTTCTTAAAAAATCAATATTATAAATTACTCGCTGTTACTTAGTACATATAAACCTGTTTTCCTTTATTGTTGCCTGCGATGTATTTTCGTTCCTATTAACAATATGACATTATAACGTTACTGAAAATATTTATATTTTATATTAATATTTTGTATTAATTTCTAACATGAAGCAAATCCGTTTGCGTTTCTTGTTCTACAGTACCAATACTCGTCTCTGTCGCTACGTCAACCGTTTGAGTAGTTGTAGAAGGAACAAAAGCATCTTGCAATTTTTGAGCAGAATGAACGGTATCTCTGTACTTGAAAAATATTGTAATTTTATTTCGTGATTTTTTTAAATAGAATTATACAAAATATATAAATAGTAAATCAATTTTAGACCTCAATTTTAAACACAATTCAATCTCTTGAAGTTCACACGTTCCACAGGTATTATTTGAGCAAATCTGTTCGCCCTCTGATTTTTCAAAAGATGAATACCAAAATGTATCTTGAATATTGCTATCATTAAATTTTTGATGGTTGTTATCTTGCTGCAAATATGTTTGTGCATTGCGATATCACAAATAAATATAAAAACAGGCACATTATAAATATAAACAAAATAATAATTTCAGAATTCTGTAATACTTATAATTTTATAATTACTAGTATTTTACAGCACATAAGTATAATTTAGTAAAGAAACCTGATGTATAATCATTTTTCATATAGGTACTATTTTTTTACGCATACCTTTCTAAAATTATTATGAGATAACGGCATGTATGGGAAGAAAAGCATATGCATTCTTTTAAACCATTTCGCTTTTGGCGCGTATAATTTTTCGCAAGATATAGCTGCAGCAATTTTTGATAGTTCGTAACAGTATTCTTTTTTTACATTTGCAATCCTATTAATACAATCACATAATGTTAATCCAGGAATATTAATGGAATTTTTTATCTTCTTATATGCTTCATAACGCAATGATTTATTATTGAACTCGGGATGGAATGGATTCCACAAACATTGATATTGCCCATAAAATGCTATTAATTTCTCGGTATTATCTTCATTCCATGCATTTGACATATTAAAAAATATTTTATAATAAACCAATTAGGTTATTTAACCTTCTTAAAGCTTTTAAGATCAAAAAATATATTTAAACATAAGTTTAAACACTGATTTGTATTTAGCTGATTTTTTATCAGAAAGCGTGTGTGATTGACAAAGAAAATATATCACAAATGTTACAATATGCTTCTTCATTGTACCGATCGATTACAAACACATAGAAATTTAGAAAGAGAAGAAAAAGATGAAGGATGCAATGTATATGTGTATCATTACAAAAATAAATGATAGGTTTAGAATGGAAATATAAGATATTAAATTTAATCAATTTTAAATATATATTTTCGTACATATTTCTTTTTTTTCGTATCACACATTAGTAGTATAAATATAAATTGCCCATTTTTGTTTTATAAATTTTATATCTTATGTTTACATAACAAAATATTCTTTGTTGTTTATCAAGTATGCAATTTCTAATAATTTATAACAATGCCTCGTATGTTCTAATTTATTGCTACAATTTATGTTTTCTCTATTGCAGTAAGAATTAATTTTCTTAGATTTCAGCGAATAATTGGTCGTTTTGTTAAAGTTTGAAAAATGCGGGCGGATTGGTTACAAATATATCGCTTTTTGATTTAGTAGTAGCATAAAAAATAATAAGTACTACATTAACATATTATTAAATGTTTAAGTCTAAAGCTATATATATATATATATTTGATCATATTATATATTTTGATTGTACCATATGGCAAGGTTCATCATAATTTATATATGATAATATTTTATAAAATCAATTAATTGCATAATGATCTCTTTCACGAAACAAGAGAACTGATATTTGATAAAATAACTTAAAAAATGTATACACAACAAGATTATTGTGTAATAGACATTATTGAAAATCAAAACTGATAAGCGAGTTACTTAATTAAACCGTCAATGGCTTTATAGTTTTGTTTTCGACAAAAATATATATTCTATCTTCTAGAAATTAGCTCGATTACTCAATGATATACTACGTTATTTATAAATTATATGTACAATATTATTTTCATATAGAACAATTATATATTTTTCACTCATGATCATCTATTGTTAATCTACTATTATTGTATCTTACTGTGCTTAAATCTATATTACACGCGTTATTTTTAAGAAGTCGTTTCAATTGTTGAAGACAATGTAGGTAGCTGCTGTGGGACGAAATTTACAACTTCATGGTATACAAGTTCTATAAATGAAAATATCCATTATCCAATGTGATAATGCTTTAAATTAAAATAGGCATTAGTAAAATGCATTACCTTTCCATTTCTCTACTGGAAGATCCATATCTTCAAAACTCTGATCATATGGTAGAGAAACAGGTTCATCAGTTGGATCTGCATATTGTGCAAGATATGAATGTGCTAAAGCCTGTTCCGCTGTAATCCTTTTTTCTGCATCCAATTCCAACATCAATTCCAACAAATCAATAGCTAGACAAAAATTCAACATGATTCTACATGCATCGTTCGACAAACATCAATATACCAGACATTTTTTATTTACCTAATGGATTAGCTCCACGAAATACGTCTTTGAAATTTTTCTTCTTTAACGGTGGTAAACTCTGAATATAATTTCTAGCCTGTGTAACAATAATTCAATTATGATAAAAAATCAACGGTATTTATCTAAATAAAACTATTATACATATATCCTAACATGTACACAATATATATTATACTTTCTCTATATTATATCTCTCTTTATCTTTATATAAATCTTCCAAAAGTTTTAATCAAATTGAAATAATTAAAAGTTAGTTTTTTTTAAAGGTGCACATTTATATTTCTTTTATGTATGCATACATTTTAAGTTTTAATACAAAATTTAATGTATATATATTTAGAGATATAGACTTAAAAAACAAATTTACCTCTTGGCTAGTAATTTTGCTTAATGTTTCTTCTGTGGGTGTACCACAGAGTACTAACACTCGTGTTAGGTGATCAATGTCTGCTTATGGTTAAGGTATATTTGGAAAAGCAGTATTAATTATATAATAATTAAAAAGTAATTTTATTAACAATAAATATATAAAACCATTCCCACAACTTGCAAGTAATCGCATCTAAAGCAAGCTGCATACTTGTTATAAAGCAGCGTGAATTAGAGCTTTAAATAGACATTAAATGTGAAAAAATTTAACTTTACAGTTTATACTGAAATCTACGTTGCTTGAAATTTTCTTATTTAGTGATTATATATAAATATACACTATTTTTAATTATTGTTATCTATAAATATTATTATCAATATACAGAGAGATTATTTGTTACTAGAATATTATATTAAATATTAAATCCAAGAATTTGCCAAGATGTAATATTTATTTTCGTTATTTATTTTACATGTTAACAAGAAAAAGAAGAAATCAAGCACAATTCATATTTTATATAAAAAACGTGAAAAACGTGCATATTTCATGCTATAGTAGATAAAGTAACTACTATAAAATAATTAAAACAACTTACCGATTCTGACGATATTTTTTTCATAAACTCGTCTCGTGGAGTACCCAAAATTTCCATAATTAAATTCAGTTGATGAATATCTGCTCTTGCTAAGGCTCCACTATATTTTTTTTTTTAAATACTAAATATCCCCTTTGTTAAAACTATTTTTTATTATTTTTAAAAGCAATATGTTATATATAAATATATTATTTTTATATATACAATTTTTATATTTTTCTCATGCTGAATCTGCAGACAACTTTTAGATTTACAATGCAAAATGTAAGTAGATGGCTTTCTACAAGCATATTAAGCAGAATATATGCAACGATTAGATTTAAGAGTTCAATGCAGCTATGGGATATCAGTTACAATAGATCCTTAGCAAAAAGCATATTTAAAGGACATTGCAACTGGATGAGACAAATGGAAATATTATCAAGACTAATTAATGAATTTGTGTTAAAAACAAAAACATACATCTATCATATTTATGAGAAAATAATGAAAGTGAAACAGATTGAATCAAAATACACAAAAACTTTTCAATAGTGACAAGGATACGATCTGTCCCAGGAAATAGTGTTCTTCCAGTTAATAGTTCTGCCATAATGCATCCAACTGACCAAATGTCAACTAAAATATATAATAGCATTATATAATTTATGTATCGTATAAAATAAAGCAAATAAAAAATATATATTGCTATCTTTTTCTCTTCCTCATTCTCTTTTTTTCCCTCTAACATAATTACTAACCTGTTTGATTGTAATGCATCCAATTAAGCATAATTTCAGGCGCCCTATACCACCTAGTGGCAACATAGCCGGTCATCTCATTTTCTGTCGGCCTGGCTAAGCCAAAGTCCAGAATTTTCAATTCACAATCCTCATTAACTGCTATGTTAGATGGCTTCAAGTCCTATTGATCAAATCTGTGAGAAAGTGCTTCCATATTTTTCCAATTTTGTATAAATATATGTATACAATGAGCGATCATACCCTATGTATGATTCCTGCAGAATGAATATATTTCAAACCACGGAGAATCTGATAGACAAGAAATTGCACGTGATCATCAGAAAGTTTTTGCGTTCTGACAATGTTATTCAGGTCGGCACCCATTAAATGTGTGACTAGGTATCTGTATAAATAAATAATTAAAATATGAATAAAATAAGATTAATCTCACATGACAGATATGATACATACACATGTTGAAAATCTTCCAAAGACGAAGACGGATGAAATACATCTAATAGTCCTATTACCTATAAGAGAACAACACAATTCTTTAAGATTAACTACAAACAGAGATTGACTACAAAGAATGCAATCCATTTGAATCAATGCTTCAAAACATTTTATTGATCAATCAAAAAATGTACGAATTATCTCATCAAAGAATGCTTCAAAGCATTTATTAACTGAACTGTAGTTAAAATATCTTGATAATGGTGTATATACCCACATTTTCATGATTCATATGTTTTAACATACGTAGCTCTCTGTACGTGCGTTTTGCGTGCACAGCTGACTGAAATGGCCTAGCTAATTTTTTAATCGCCACCTTTTGCCCAGTGGTTGTATCCACTGCTGAACTGAAATAAAAAAATTTTTTTTAGAGCAACGCGATTCTGCTCATACTCTTTATTGGCACGATTTGAAGCATTACAATAACTTGCATTTATTAGAAAACAGAAAAAACAAAAGCTTAAATCTTGATATGACAAATAAGATTTCGCATTATTAGCATTATTTTTCATTTGATTCATAACATAGTTATGATAAATATCGTTCTAAGCTTATTTTCATGAAAGTGCGAGATGCGTGAATACAATTCTCGGAATTAACACACCCCCGCAACAATTATATTCCGGTCGTTCTTCACGACAGAGAATAATCACACGATGACGATCTTGCCACTCTAACGCCAAAAATGTAAACGTCAAGGTTGCAATCGATTTATGATCCCAGCATGCAACATTCATTCTAATAATTTTCTATTTGATTATCAATCGATCACGATTTTCTAAACGACTAAAGTTAACAAGCCGTATGAGGCACAAGAAAGCTTAAAAAAAAAAAACTTATAATAAATTTTATATAATTTAAAATTATAAATTTTGTAATTTTTCAAAGCATTAGCTATAAATTACAAAAATATTAAATCAAATTAAAATGTTAAAATCAGGCAATGTGATGTAAGAAGAAAATCAATAAGAGCAAAGAAATTAAAATTATAAATTTTGTAATTTTTCAAAGCATTAGCTATAAATTACAAAAATATTAAATCAAATTAAAATGTTAAAATCAGGCAATGTGATGTAAGAAGAAAATCAATAAGAGCAAAGAATTCTTTGTAAGAAGAATTCTTACATTTGTCTATTTTTTCACCAAGAGTAACTTTAATCCTCGTTTAATCTCAATTTTATTTACTCTTTATTTTTTTCTGATTCTTAAAATTATAGTTTCTATCATATAGATTAACTTTAATCTCGATTCAATTTACTCTTCATTTTTTTTTGTAATTCTTACAACCAGAAAAAGATGAAGAGTTATACATTGACAGAAATAAGCACTAGATCGTTAAGATTAAATTTAATCTCGATTTAATGTAATAGTTTTGTTTATCTTTTCAATTCTTATAAATAGAAAAAGATTAAAAAATAAATTAAAATCAAAGTTACATTAATGGATATCTCAGATCTTATCACTTTAGTGACTGGAGATTGCAAAAAAGAAATTGCTGCTGGCTAACAACTTCTTTTGATTAGTCAAGAAAAGCAAACACAGACACAGATGTAATCTCCAATTGCTAGTGTATATAGGTATTAGAAAGATATAGGTATTAGAAAGATATAGGTATTAGAAAAAGATGAAAAGATAAAAATTAAACTTCATTAGTGAAAATGGGCAGACAAGAACTCCAAAGAAACATTTTTTAAATAAAATTGTGATGTCTGAGATATAAAATACAAAAATATGTATATAATAAACTAAACATCTCATAAAAGAATGTTCTAAATTGTAAAACAAAAACTGACTTATTAGTTAAAAGATCATGTTTGAAATAGATATTCTAAACAATTAAATATTGAAATCCTATGAACTTTGTCTTCAACTTAGGCCGAAACATGTTTGGCTATTTTAACTTAGACACAAAATATTTTAAAAATATCAATGTATTTTTGATAAAAAAATGTTTCAAGTAAAAGTTGTAGCTTAAAGATGATTATCAGATAAGTCAATTATAATAGAGCTCATTGTTTTTTTCTTATTAGGTACAAAATGAGCCATAGATCCAAAATCTAATCAGCTCATTTGATGACTTCTTCAAACCTTACAACCTTTATTTGAAATATCTTTTTAAAGTATTTAAAAAATGCAATTAATTTCGAAATATTTAGTATCCGAGTTAAAATAGCCAAATATATTTTGGTGTAAACCAGATACAGAATTCATAGAATTCTCAAGATTTGACCATCTAGAACCTATTTTCAAATATGATCTTTTGACTGATACATTAGTTTTATATCAATTTTACGAACTAGAATATTCCCTCTCTTGTCAAAATAATTAAATTAAATATCTCCAAACTATGCATTGCGACGCAAGACATGTTTAAACGAAAAAATTGACAAGATCAGAGAATTTTGTTGCGACTTAGATTCTAGGTTTCACCAGATTAGCTTCAAACTCAGTTCAACTATTACTCTCTCTCTCTCTCTCTCTCTGTTTATCTTATTCTAATACTAAGAATTCATAAAATTCGAGGAAGATAAACAGAGTAAGAATTAAACCGACACTAATATTACATTGATGGCTTTAGTCAAGAGTCTCTTGGCAGTCTCTGTCAAATACATATATCGTCAAGGTTTTTCATTGCACGCGCGCGCACATCAGATGACGATTGTGCCAACGTCGTGCTCCGCTAATGATGTTGCCGCTTACCAGACTTGACCGTAGGCGCCCGAGCCCACGGGAGTGAGCAACTGATACCGCTCCGGTACCTCCCATTCCGTCCTGTTAATCTCGATTTTGTGAAACTGCGGCATGCCTTCGAATTGTACACGTTGCGCTCGCTCCAACGAGACTCACAACGATGGTTAATAGCGTTCTTTTCGTTCTCACATCCACCAGGACTCTATCTCTACGACGCACGACACCACATCTTCAAGTCGTAGCTATTGTCGCCACAGATCCATCGCGATACACTACAGAGAGATACAGGCTACAAGCTATTTACTTAAGCCAGACAGACAGAGGTGCATCCCGATTCCTAATCGATCCCGCCGTATGATCGCTGAATCGCTGATAATCGCGCAGTCTAGTTCTCGATACTCGATATTGTTGACCAATCGATATTGTTTCTGCATTAGATATATCGAATATCGAGAGATCTAATGGTAAGAATGATTAGAATGTTGATCCAAAGAGAAGCCTGAGAGCGGCCATGCCCGGGATTTAGCTGTTACTTAATTTTGAAACGCCACTTATGTCCGCAAAACGTGGACCTTGAACTATGTAGCCAATGTCCAAGATCGTGTCGGTAATGTCCAAGATTTTTGGTTCAAATCT